CCGATCCCTGTTGGTGGTGACCCCCCTGTCACCCCTGAGAACACCCCCCCGCCAGTACGGTGTTCAGGCAAGCTTGATCATTTGGACTTTTAGCATATTGATTGTGGTTCCTGAGATCATGTACACCCAGAAACAACCTGATTTTGAAGACCGCTTTATCTGCGATTACAGTGACAAGTACTGGAAGGATTTGGACCGCTACATGAGAATTGTCTCCTTTCTGTTTTCCTTTATTGTCACTGTATATTGTTACCTCAGAATACTGACAATTCTACTCAGATCAAGATCACAGAGGAAACAGAGAACTGTGAGACTCATCCTCATTATTGTAGTCTCCTTCATTTTCAGCTGGGCACCTTATAATATAGTCTCTCTTATGCTTTCTTTTCCATCTAAAAGCTGTCAGTTTGAGAGGAACATTAACATTGCCTTCTACATCAGTCGCAAAATTGCCTTCTCCCACTGTTGCCTCAACCCTGTGCTCTACGTATTCGTTGGGGTCAAATTCAGAAGGCATTTGAGGCACCTGTGCAGCCACTATTGGACATGCATGAATGGTCCAGTCGCCAGCCCCAAGATTCCTTTTCATGGCAAGTTCCACTATGAAGATGCCTCCATTTACTGAAGCAAAGTCTGTTCTGTGGTGCAAATCCTGAGGGAAATATTCTAATTTAGAAATGCCTTATTAATAGCTGATTTCAGAGGCACTCATCTAAAAGCCGGGGGGGAAAAGGTGAAGCCATTTGTTTTGCTTGTAAATACTCCTTTCTGAACTTTTTATGCTCTCATTTACACCTATTTGTTTCCATTGCTCTCAGTAGTTTTGCACTGGCAGAAATCAGAGCAGCATTTGCCTCTTGTCTCTTCTTGAGTGAAGCCAGGTCTTAGGTCTGGAATCTGGACTCTCTGATGTTCTTTTCCCTTTTTTTGTGTTAGTGGGTGCATCTATGTGTGTGCTTTACTACAGAGCGGACTCATAAGCTCCACAGTAAAGCATGACCATCTAGACATGCACCCACATTAGGGCACAGTAAATTAATTAGCTGTGCTGTAGGATATTACTGTCCAAGACAAATACTATCCTACAGTGGAGTAGTTACATGTGCTGAAATGCACATGTAGACTGTGACCAGGGCTGGCTGGGACACGAGGGTGCTACAGTGTGGAAGCTACCTGCTGGCTAGACCCCACATTGTAGCCGCCTTGGGGCCCAATCAGCCTATTGAGCTGGGACACAGCAATGCTGGGTTGGCAGGCTGATCTCCCAAGCACCCTGCCAGCTAGAGTTGCTTCACCCCAGCACAGCGTGCTTAGGTCCTCAGTGCATGGATGAATGCTGCGCCTGGAAACAATAAACTCCGACACAAGCTGCACCATATTTTATTGCTATGTACTAATTGCATATATAGATGCATTCACCATTCACTAGCTACTGATATCAGCTTTGTGCAAACCCTTTTTTATTGTTAGAGTAGTTTGGAAATTGGTAAAAGGAATTACATTTTCAAATGCACTAATACATACTTAATTCTTGTAACCACAAAGGGTAGAATGAATAGCCATTCTGAATAAAGCTGAAGCTTTTTACATTTTAATAGTTATTATCAAAATATAGTCTCCTTTATTTGTAACATATGCTTTAGGTTTTCTTCTTCAAGGAATGATAGAATTGAATTTGCTCCGTACTAGTAATGTAGCTGACTTGCAGATGCTCCTGATACTATAATATTTCATATCCTAACCTGGGTGTAGAATCTCAGATTTAATAATGAGGTAATATTTTGCAAAAACCTTGAAATAGTGCTCCAATTAGCAACTACCTTTCTTAGGCAAACACTTTGCAGTATCTTCACGGAACTGACAGTGCAATTTTGTTTGATCTTTAAAATGCGCTTGTATTCAACTACATATTCAGCCAGTCCCTTAAAGCATTGTTTAAGAGCTTTTATTGTGGTTTTTAGGGTTTGTGCTTGAATATAGCTGCCAGAAAAAAATTCACATCTTTTTACCTGCTGTTAGAGCCACAGTTCACTCCCAACATGGCAATGCTATTGTGTTGTATAAAGACTTTTGGGAAATCTAGTTACGCATTTTATACATTAAACTTGAGTGAGTCTTTCTCTTTTTGTATAGCTAGAACATCTGGGAATCATGAGGCTTTCACCTTTCTTAGCTGAGGTGCCTTTCCTCATGAGGGAGGATTCCAGACGCAGGTCCTTCTCAAAAAGACCCTTGATGTAAATGGGACTCATCCCACCAACTTCAATATCCTTCAGATCAGGCCTTTCATGCCTTTGGACATATCGATGCAGGCTGCCCAAAGGACAAGTGGAATACTTCTTCCATGTACATTTTTGTAAAACAGGAGTAACTCCATTGACTTAAGCCTGGGTAAAACAGATCTTGTGTGTTGGAGGCATTTGAACAAACTGCTTTGAAACCTGAACTCTCACTAAAGCTACCAGGGACCCTCTATAACTCCTGTTGTAAATACATTCTATAATCTATATAACTCAGGTAATATACTAGAGGCATGTGGGACTCTTTTTCTTAGTTTAACATGGCTTGCTTACAGCAATTTTCTTTATAACCTGAATATGCTTTGTGGTAAGAAACTTCGACACCTGAAAGTAAAGTGCATGCAGAAAAACTGAATATACTAAATGGATTGTTACTTACTGTAACCTATGTTCAGCAAATGGACTCCCTCCCACCCCCCACACCTATTCTTAAAAGGAACTAACACATATTGAGAGAACCCCTGCAATAATATGCTGTAAATGTTGTTCTCCATCTTTAAATAAATCCTATTTAAACTGAAATGCTTGCAGTCTGACATGTGATTGTAAATTCTCTCGGGTGGGTGAGGGAGGGGAACAAGACCCAGGCAAAGATTATGGGGTGTGTGGGTGGGTGTTAGAACTGAGGCTGGGGGGCACTGGAATTGAAGCAGTTATGCTCATAGTCCAGCAGCTGTAAGTTTGGGCTGTATGGAGAGAGGCAGGGAATTGGGCATTAGGGTCAGGAAGGGTTGCGGGTCCTGACAGATAAATACAGGGGAGGAAAGAAGCAGGGGATAAAAACAGGAGGCACCCCCACTGAACTAGGGGTTATATTTTGGCAGCACCTTTGAGGGCTCTCAGAACAGTAAAGCTGCCCTGATCTCCTTCCCCAGTCTGTAGAGCTGCAGTCTCAATAGCTGTCAGGACCTGAGAGTACTTTGCTTTCACCCACTGGATTTTGGACACCACCCAGACCCTCTAATGGGCATCTTGGTTCTCCCCCGCCCAACTTGGTCCAGGGTGACAAAGGAGCTTGTTATATCTCTGTCCCTCACAACAGACAATCCCTGAATTGATCTAAGCTGCATAGCAGGCAAAGTAGTATTGTGTCCATAGTGTTGCTTGAGAAACATGCAGTTTCAAAGCAATGTTTTTTGGTACACCCCTTCCCTCTTCTTGCATTTATAGTTTCATAGTTTCTAGGGTCGGAAGGGACCTGAGCAGATCATCTAGTCCGACCCCCTGCCATGGCAGGAAAGAGTACTGGGGTCAAACGACCCCAGTAAGGTGGTCATCCAACCTCCTCTTAAAAACCCCCAGGGTGGGAGCCTGCACCACCTCACTTGGAAGCTGGTTCCAGAC